AGACAGGGTCTCCCTGTAGCCCCAGCTGTCCTGGAACTCACTATGGAGACCAGGCTGGCCTCGAACTCACAAAGATCCACCTGCCTCTGCCTCCCAAGTGCTGGGATTAAAGGCGTGCACCACCATGCCTGGCTCCTGAAAACTTTTTTTACTATTATTTTATTCATTGCTGTGTATGTGTGTGTGCGTGTGTACAGGCAGGAATGAGCATTCAACAGCACATGTGTGGAGGTCAGAGGACATATTTTGGAAGTTATTTCTATCCTTTCACAGTGGGTTCCAGGAATCAAACTTAGGTTCTCAGGTTTCCATGTTAAGCACTTTTACCTGCTGAGCTTTCTCCCTAGCCCAGGATTAAGTTTTGTTCTTTGTTTTGTTTTGTTTCATTTTGTTTTGTTGAGACAGGGTCCACCTGTAGCCCCAGCTAGCCTGGAACTTACTATGTAGACTAGGATGGCCTCAATCTCACAGAGATCTGCCTGCCTCTGCCTCTCCAGAGTGTAGGAATTAAAAGTGTGCGCCACCACACCTGGCCTTTCATAAAGTTTTTACCAAAGACTTAACAGACACCAAAGTTTAGAATGACACACATAGGATAACCCTGTGGGTTTGAAGACATTTAGGACATTTCTGGGGCATTGTTAATAGTGGCTCTGAGAATAGGAAAGTTAATATAAATAGGGGAAGGAACTTTTTCATTTCTCCTTATACCATTTAAAATTTTTCTTTTAAATTAAGAAATATTACTTTAATTCTTTTAAAATCAGAAAGTGATCAATATTGACCCCTCCACACACACACACCACTACTACCACAGGAGGTACACATAGAGGACTAGCAGGGATATTATCTTTTAATTTATCTTGTTACTGTGCAATCTCAGAAGGCTTTTCTCTTCACTTACTCTGATTCACAGCAACTTTTACCCCTTTATTGGGATGTGGGGCAGGTTGAGGAGGAAGAATACATAAACCCAATGATATTTATAAGCATGTCTGTGAGAAAAGAAGCAGCATTACCAGTCACTGAGCAGATTCCTGGAGCGCCCCACAGGCCAGATGATGCAGGCAGGCACAACCAAATCTTCCTTTTCACTCCTCCTTACTACTAGCAACACCCAGAACCACAAAATTAATTAAAGAAATGTGGGGGTTTTTGTGGCTCTGGAATCAGAGATGACAGGAGGGCATCTTATGCTTTAACAGGCCATCATGGGAATTGTTAACTTAAGCAATTATAAAATAAAAATGCACTGACGCTAAAGATGCCTTTATAAACCTGTCTGTCACTTTAATCTTTCTTCATGACTTACCGGTTTAATTAGATGAGTATACAGTCACATAAAGTTTCACTGAAATAGTTATAATTATTAGTTATAGTATTAGTTGTTGGGCAAGAAACAACTTATAATATTGGGCATCTCATTTATTTTCAGACTCTAAGACTAAATGACAGTTAAATTTAATAAAATGCCTTGGACTTAGATTATACAGATCATTTTTACTTTGTAAAGCATGTAATACATGAGATTGTGGGTTCTAATTCCCAGACTGAAAGGCCTGGTTAAGGTTAAGATTTCTTATGCTTCACTAAATCAGAAATAGTGATGGACGTACAGTTTCTTACTTAAAACCCAATGCTGAAAACAACTATGATGCTGCTAACATTTTCAAAGACAATTAAGCCAATGCAAGCAAATAAAGTTTGGTGGAAAAAAGTCTTGAAACTGATAATGCTAAGGAACTGATTTTCAATTTTTTAAGTTATATTCTAGAAACAGTAATTTCTGGGCATCTATTTAATGACATGTCAAGAAAAGACACTGACTGTCCACCTGGTTGAGTCTAATAAATAGGAATGTAGTCTAGGAACCACCATTAATTAATTTATTTCTTTGAATTAACATGGAAATTTCATACTTGAAAACAACTAATGAAACTGGTAAAATTGGAACACTGTCCAGTTTTTCATACTGAATTAATAAAACAAACTTGATTATAAACTAAGGCTAGATTTCCACCTCATTTACTACTTTGACATTTTTAACATTTTAACAGAAATAGATGTAAAAATTTTCAGTCTATAGAACATTGACAAAATATACAAATAACCTTTTGCTGTTGTTAAATTCTAAACTTTTCTTTTACAATAATATATTCACTGACCTCTTCTGGGACTCTCATGATTGAAGAGAATGCCATTCACTGCAAAGAGATTATAAGCCTCCCGGAAGTTTACCACAATCCAATAGGCGTAGAGTTTGGCTGCTCCTGTTGAAAAATATCTTAATAATACATCAAAATGGCAAATACAAATCAAAGGTCAAAACAAATGTTGCTTGCCAATCAATCATGCTTATCAGGAAATATCCCATAACTTCCTACCTTGAAATATTTTTGTTGTTGTTACTTTTACAGGGTCTCCCTGTAGCCTAGAACTCACGATGTAGACCATGATAGCCTCAAACTCACAGAGATCCACCTGCTTCTGCCTCCCAAGTGCTGGGATTAAAGGCATGTGCCACTATGCCCAGTGAAATATTTTTTATATCACTTTTTTCACCATCTGATTCAGCTATCCTGTGTTCAATACATCAAGTCCACTTAAGTCTGTTTCTCTCTCTCTCTCTCTCTCTCTCTCTCTCACACACACACACACACACACACACACACGCAAATCTCATTGCTTCAGCATATTGGGTCTAGTTTTCCTTTTAAAGTGATCTATATAGAAGGGCTGAATGAACAGGGGTTGGTGAAGTGAGGTGGTAATTTCACCTGGAGGCAAAGCAGTAATGCATAAAGTATGCTTCTCAACAAGTTTCTTCACTTTAGTCTATCTCAATGTCAATCTCATATTCAAATGACTTTAGCAGTGAGACATACAGAATTAGAGCAGAAACATCCCCACACCACAGAGAATAGTGCATGTGGCTGGGTACATGTCCTTACCATAGGGTGACCGAGGGTAGAAAGGTGTAGTCTCTTTCTGGGGTATTTCCTGCACTTTTCCATAAAGTTCACTTGTTGAGGCCTGGTAGAACTTCACAGAGTTGATAAGGCCACAAGTCTTAACTGCATCCAGAAGCCGCAAGGTGCCAACTCCATCAACATCTGCAGTATACTCGGCTAAATCAAAGGAAATCTGGAGAGAGAGGGCAGAGATGGGCTACATTGATGGACAACGCTGACAGACTCTGTTGCCAAGAGGGGGGCGGGGAACCATACATCAAACCACAGCAGTTTCACATTGTGAAATGTTATGCTGGTGAGAAAATCTAACAGAATTTCAAGGGTGGATGTCATGAACTTAATGTCAAATCGCTAGAGAATATCTCAGTACCCATCCATCACCTGTGGTAATGCAAAGAACAACTTAACACCTGTGTATTACCTCCTCATTGGAGCTGAATCCCTGGGAAGCTTTATATCAGGGGCAAAGCTCTGTTCCTCAGGTTATTCACTAAAAATTCAGTGTGAACCAACTCCTTGGGGGAGGGGTTTAGAAAAAAAAAACAGGTTCCAAATGAGTCGCAACTGATTTTGGTGCACACCAAAGATAGAGAACAATTGAATTTTGAAAGAACTGTTTTTCTTTCTTTTCTTAAAAATTAGAATATAAGAATAACTGTAATGTCTATAAAGTATTTAACTTTATAAAAAGGCACAGTTCAAAAAAAAAGGGCACAATTCATGCAGCAAAATGCTACTGTGTGAACTGACTTCTAGGAAGGTACTGAAACAGTTTTTCAAAGTGGTTTTAAAATGAAATAGATACGACCGATAGGCTTCCTTCTTAAATAATTTCTACACAAAATAAAAAAAACTATTTTAAATCATCTAAAATAATGAGGCTGAAAACTATCACTTGTGTATTCACTGCCTTGTGAATTAATTCAAATGCAAAAACCTCTCAAAGGGGTAAGGCCACTGGCCTTCATTGTTTACTGGTCAGGAGTGTCCCTTAAGCAGAATCTGTGGCATGTACATGTATACATGGCACTGTGAGAAGTTGGATAACTGTTCTCTGAGTAGCTCTGCCTACTACCCCTGAGTCTTCTAGGGCTATGAGTAGAGATCAGGGGCTGGCCAGGAAATATAAAAGAAAGATCATACATTTCATTTGCAATCTTTCAAAGCAACGAAGGCAAATATGGGGTTATTTTAGTCTCTGCGCGGCGCACTTGAGCACACACAGTATGAACACGTGTAAGTATAGACAACTTCAAGCAGAGGCCGGTGGAGGACATTATATGTCTTCCTCTATATCTTTTCAACTTATTTTCTGAGACAAAGTGAACCTGAAGCTCAATTTTTGGGTTAGACTGGCTGTCTAGCAAGTGCTCAGGATCCGCCTCTCTCCACTCTCCCACAACACTGGGATTACAGGTATACAAAGACATGAATGGCTTTTCTGTGGGTGCTGGAGATTTGAACACAGGTGCTCTTGCTTGCACAGCAAGTACTCTAGCCCACTGAGCCATCTCCCTCCCTGGTCTCCCATTTTATTCTTTTTAAATAATATTTCATACAGGTACATAAAATTCCCCATAAAACAGTTTATAGAAATACTATGAAAATTGCCATTTTAAGGTTTACAATTCAATGGTCTTCATAATTCACAGCATTATGCAATCACCATCATCATCTCACCAGAACATTTTCACCACCTCAAAGATTCTGCAGGTATCAACATTTACTCTCCAGCTCCCAGCTCCGACACTGACCTGGGTGGTCACTAATCAATCTGCTTTTTCCTTTACACATGTACCTATTATAGACATTTCTACAATCATACAACATGTAGGCTTTTGAAACTAGCTTCTTTCTCATAATTTTCTCTCTTACACACACACACACACATACACACACACACACACACACACAGAAGAGGAGTGGAAGTGTGGAAGTACTGGGGCATTTTGTAACAGTTTAACATATTGAGGAACTGTCGATTGATTTTCCACAGTTGATGTACCATTGCTAAGATGTTAATTTGTCCACATCCTAATCAACAATTTTAGTGGTCTTTGATTGTAGTCATGCCTGTGATTTAAAGTGCCATTTCACTGATGTTTTGATATGCATTTCCCTGGAACTAAGGATATTGCGCATCTTTTCATCACTATTGACCACCTGTCAATATCTTCTTAATAGAAATGTGTATTTGAATCCTTTGCCCATTTAAAAACTGGGTTACTTGTCTTTTCTTTATTGAGGCATAAAGGTTCTTCCTGTGTTCCAATACAAGTCCCCTATCAGACATATGCAATCTTTTCCTCCCATTATGAGGAATATATTTTCATTTTCTTAATGGTGTCCTATGAAGCAAGGATGTCTACGTTATCTACCTTTTACTTTGTTATTTATGCCTTTCATGTCATATTTAGGAATATTTTCCACAACCAAAGAAAATGAAGATGGGCTCAAATGTTTTATTCTATGTTGACAGATCAGTTTTGAATTAATTTTGTGTGTAATTAGGGGTCTAACTTCATTATTTGCAGATGGAGAGCCAATTGTCCCAGCATCATTTTTTGAAAGGTTCTTACTGTCCTGTTGAATGGTCTGGGCACAGGGAGTTTGTTCTCTGGAAAGCCCTGGCCCTATGTTGCTAAGATCATGCATATGAGGAAGGCATCAGGACAGAAGTGCCAACAGCTCTATACAAACAACATTATCTAAGTTCTCAGTATGGGGATGATATTACTCTAGGCAGCATGAATGAATGCATGATTCAGTTTGAAAGACAGGTAAGCACTTAATCAGAAACAGAAAAGTAACAGCAAGCAGAGTGTGGCATGCTCCACTTATGGTGAATGGAATGTGTAGAAGACATTCCATGTACTGTGTTCATGGTGATCCAAGTGTCCTTTCAGACTTAGGAAATATGGTAAGGGAGACCTGCTCTACTTAACCAATGATATAGTCATAGAAGAGTATTAACAACAGTAAGGCTGAAGCTAGCAAATACAGATGGAGCTATTCCAGGGAGGGAGGGAGGCTGCCTGTCTGCATTTTTTGTTGATGTTGTTTGTTTAAGATAGGGTCTCCCCAGCAGGCCTGGTAGACCAGGCTGACTTTTATGTCACAGAAATCAGCCTGCCTCTGTCTCCAAAGTGCTGGTATTAAAGGTGTTCACTACCACACCTGGCATCTGTCTATAATTTAAAACAAATTATCTCCTCATAATTTTTACATATCTCTATCAATAATAATACATATGGTTGGTAGTAGAAATTTTGGAGGATGAGATTGGAAGATAAAAAGATTAATTGTTTTAAAAATATTTTTAGCATAAACTAACAAATTAAATGGCCACCCCCAATCAAAACAGTACTTAATAGTCAACTTTTAAAGGTTACAAGTATGATTTTTAAAACACTGGGGTCTGGAAAGTTACAGCCCATAGGTCAAACCTGGCCTGCTTCCCATTAAGAAATAAAGTTTTATAGGACACAGTCACATCCACTCTTTTACATGTTTCCCATAGTTGTTTTTGCGCTATAACCAGAGTTGAGTAAGGTTGCTACACAGATTTCTCACAAAGCTGAAAATATTATCTGGTACTTTATAGAAACTATCTCTGTCCTATGAAATAAAACTGCAATTATATCTGATAGCCAAAGTGAGTAATGTTTTAAAATTATCATTACTTATCTATTTCCTCAACACTGGTGATCCTCAACTTATGTTGGGTTACAACCCAATAAACCCATCATCAACTGGAACCATAGTTAATATGCCCCACCTACTGCACATCCCAGCACAGCACACAGCACTACAGTGATGGTGGTTTCCACTGAAGATTTCAGGGCTGCTGGTGCTCAGGAGATACGATGTGGACACCATATCAATAGCCTAGTGGAAGACCTAAATTAAAAATTCAAAGTTCAGCTTCTATTGTCTATCTGTAGCTCTTCATCTAGGAGTGGGACCTTATGAATTTTCCCCTATCCACATTTTCACGTCAACTGGTGTTGTCACTACGCAGGTCTTATTTCGGCAACTATATTGTTGAGATTTCATGGGTGCAGCTTTCCTGCCATGTCTAAAAGATGCTATCCAGTGGCAGGCACTCTGATTCTCTAGCTCTTAGAATCTTTCTGCCCCTTCTTCTGTGATGTGCCCTGAGCCTTGGGTGTAATGGCTGTGCTTTACATGTATTAATTGGGGCTGGGCACTCCATGGTCACTTATTGTTGTAGATCTCTGTAACAGTCACCATCTGTTGCAAAAATAATCAGTATTTTTCCAGGGATGGATGAACTCCCTGATAGGTTACCCAATTCCAGCTAGTCACCATTAAACACATGTACATATGAGCAGCGCTAACTGGATTTAGTAGGTTATATGTACATATACACATATACACACATATGTACATATATTTGACAACAATTAGAGAGGTCATAAATTCGAAAAGGAATAGAGGGGGATGGGAGGAGTTGGAGGGGGAGAGGAAGAAGTACTGATATAAATACAGTACTAATGTATGAAATCTCAAAAAGGTAAATTTTAAAAAGCTATATTGTATACATGTATGAAACTGTCCAAGAATAAATAAAAGATAAATAAGAAAACAAAACCAAAAAAAATCCCACAAGCCAAGTTCATCTACTGAATGCATATAAGTTTTTTGGTTTTGGTTTTTTGTTTTTTCGGTCTTTTTGAGACAGGGTCTATGTAAGTTTTATACCACTGCAAAGTTGAAAAAAGTCCTAAATGAGGGACTAGAGTCACAAAAAACAGCTACAGTTTTCAGGGGCATGGAAACTTGGTGAACAGTGGAAACATAGTTCACATGGTAAGGAGAATAGACAAAACCTGACTGATATGAAAGAACAATGTAGCCCAAGCATACAAAACACCACCCTACTCCCTTTCCAGAGATACCTCTTCACCTGGCTTCAGTATCCCCACATTTTTTCAGATCTCCCACTTCATTGGCCACAACAGTCCAGGCTGTGACACTGTTCTACCAGGTATAGAACATTTCTGTTCCAGGCCCAGGGCTCAGTGTATGCAGAAGGGTAGCTTTTCTCCTTCTCCCCACCCCCTAGGTATGTGACCAAGGCATTCACCATCTCACCATCTCACCACCACTAAGACTTAAGCATTCCTTTACCTACTTGCCCTGCCTAGT